TACTATTTATAAATTTTAACTTATTTATTGTCTCTATAGAATTCTTATAGACCTTCAGTATTTCTTACCATTGTTTATATCGTCCAAGCTTATTATTGTGTGGGTTTATTGCACCTATTATATTTAGCTCCTCATTTTTGCCGCATTCCGCATTTACTATTCCTCTAAAAATGCTTTTTGTCCCTCAGAAAATGAATAGGAGATTGGTGGGTTGAGGCATATACTGCTTCAAAACAATTACCCATTAGAATTAGTCGATAATTTCATATCAATTGTCGTTAGCAAGAGGAGGATAGTTTGTTATCTGGGGCGGGATACACAATTGGACCATTCTACTCGTTTCCTGATTTTGTCTTCCTGCCAGCTTGCGAAAAAGTTGGGTGATATACGGATGAAGTTAAATATAATAACATTGTATAAGGCGAAACTAACACTTTTTTCAGTAGTTCCTACGTTTAGAGAATTTTCCGAACCTCTTTCTATATCAGGCTGTTACAAGGTTTGGGGCTCATGTAGTAAGGTATATGTGGGGGAGACCTGCCGACCCATTCACAAGAGACTATGCTAACACAAAACCGCTTGTAAAGGTATGTGGGTCTAAAAACCTAAGCTCGCTGATCACATCTAATACAGGACACTCAATCGACTGATAAAAAACACAACGTTTGCGGGTTACGGGGACTTCACGTCAAAAGCGTAAGATTAGGGAGTCTATAGAAATTAATAAAATGACTAACGTCCTGAATGGGAGGAACGAGTGTAGAAAACTAAGTGGGAACATTTTGTGACTGTTGGACAGACTTAGAGAAATGGATAGAGAGGAGGTGCAAGAAAGGCCACTGGAGGCTGGATTAGCCTCGTGTCTTGCTAGGACTATCATACGACACATGACATGAGCATTACGTACACACAATAGACAATAGCACAAGCCCAAACACGATCCAACATTGGAGAACCGTACACTAGTTTATTTGTGTAAAGAAACAGCTGCCACCGAACACACTTCCCGTTCGGGAAGCAACTTCCCCCATTTTCAAGCATGTAGAGTAAGGCTGGGGTAGCCAACCAAATCATGGGATACTTCTTAAATCCCGCGAAGTTACGTGTATAAAGAAAGCGATTAGTGTTGCAATCGGCCACCTTTTCTTTTGGTTTGGTATATTTTTGCTCTATTTCATAAAGTATGGATTCTTTCTCTGATGATGTCTGTCACAGTACAGACGAAAGCTTTGCATTGTTTAATCGGGGTCGTAATGCAGTGAGCCGAGGACTTCTTCGCATAATTCAACAGTCTTCCCTACGCGACAATCCTCCTTCGGTTTCTGGTGAGACCACATCATGAATTTCTTCCTACCAACTTTCCCTTTGAAATTGAGAGTCATATCACAATTAAGTACTTAGTTAAGATTGAATTTTTCCCTTCTTGGTGGATCTTAGCACGAGACTTCAGCTCATCGTTTATGCAATTTTAAAATTAATTAAACTTTCTATTTGATTTAAACAGCCCTCTATTTCTTTTTACTGACTCTGGAGACACCCCAATTCATTTTCCTAATGTAGTTTTATCTGCTATTTTTCACTACATCTTTATTAGGTCTGTGCCTACCCATTTCAGCCGAGTGCTATGGCATCTTTTCATCGTCTTCTCAGTCTCCCAGCCCCTGTTCTGCGAGTTGTAATTCGCCTAGCCTCCTGGGACCTGCAGGCTGGTCAAGCAGACAGTATAGGTAGCCCTCAGCTGCGCCTTTGCCTCGTTAGCATGGGTGGATCAGCTGTCGCGGCAGCAGCCGCCGCTGCAGCCACAGGTGGCACCGGCGGACGTGTAGCCGGTGGAGACAACTTGGGTGACACTTTAACGGCACCGCCAGGACAGCCGGGCGTGCAGATACAGCCTCCAAGATTGATACTTCAATGGATCGTAACTCCTGGGCCGCGCACTCAGTCAGCCAGCACGTCGATTGCATCTACTTTCTTATCTAGCCAGGTATTTTTTACCCGTCGATTTGCTATTAGTAATCTTCTTTTTCCATTGAAGAAGCATTCAATACTTTCTAAATGCTTTATGGGTTTTTTTTGTCAAAAAATATAATATTAACTAGCTACGGATAATAAACAACAAGCTTAGCTATTTTTCGTTTATAAGTACAGTTTCGAAACTACTAGTAAATCAGTTATATGAGATATATTCATTATATTTCGTCTAAAGTGATTAATGACTGGTGGTTTAATTTTCTCACAATGGTATGAATAGAGCGGACGTTCCCATTGAATTCCATATACCCTTGATTTCTCAAAAGGTATTCTTATCTATGGTGGGCTGTATTCTATACCTCGCCTAGGTTTCCTCAACACCCCAGCGTTCCTCGAACCATAACAGTGTATCGTATGATCTCGACATGGCAATCACTCTGACACATTGCCACGATGCCCTTGGGTCACAGGGCAGATGTGATTTTCAAGGGAGGCTAGGCATCTTCCCATATCATATTCTATGGTGGGATTGTCGATGATCTTTGATATATATGATCTTTTGGTAACCTCGAAAAAGTACAAACGAAAAATAAGTGATATAATTGACTGCCATAGCAAATACAAATTTACTTCATTTACAATCCCATCACAGAATTTGAAATGGAAAGATGCCTGGCCTTCCATAAAATTCATATCTGCCCTGTGACCCAAGGCCACTCGTGGCAATGTGGCATAGTGGTTAAAGTGTCGAGATTATATGCTGTACTGTCATGGTTCGAGTCCCTCTTGGAATGTTTGTGATATCTAGGCAAGGTAGAAATTACAATCCACCCTGGATGATAATAACTTTCGATAAGCAAGACTGTGAAATTCTTTGGAAACATAAGGTCTACTCATAGTATTGTGGGAAAATTCAATTATCAGTCCCCTTATCAACTTAAACCCAAAATATTTTATACTTCACTTCAATGAAACTCAGACACTTCATTCTGTTATACCTTCTTTTAGAGAGAAATATAACCTATTGTTATGATCCGGCTGTTGCAAGATTGTGTGCTCTTGTGGTCGACCTTATGCTGGTGAGATCTGTCGGTCTACTCACTAAAGTTTAACGAAACAGGCATGCTTGTAAAGACATCTGGTTCGAACTTTCAGAAGTAGTTAAGCATAGGGCGGAGACTGGACAATGGATAGAATGGTTTAAAATACAGAGGTTTGTTGATTATGGTATGTCAGCTGCGGAACCAAAAATAAGGGAGGCTAGTGAAATTGCTAAATTAATGAGTACGCTGAATGTGAGGGATGGTGGTAGGAAGCTTACTAAGAATTAATTATGCTTGATTAAAAGATAAAATGAGAGAGAGGATGTTGAGCCGCCATCCAAAAGAATGCGACTACTTGTCAGCTAAGTGATAATTCTAACTAAATTCACACTCATTCAACAGGTTTAAACTCATCAACAAGAATAGATATGCAAGACTACGCAATCCCAATCATCCTTTTACTTGGGTCATTAAACCCTAATGACCCCAAACGGGTTCTGACCAGTGGTTTCTTAACGTTACTTTCATGCACACAGGCTTACATTTCATCAATTCAACCAGAGTTACTTACGGATTAATGCAATCTCAGTCATGCTTCGCTTTGAGTAATTAAGTCTTTATGACCTGAGGGTGGGGTTAGCCTTTTTTCTAATTAAACTGAGGTATGTTAGGTTTTTCGTACACACGTTTACATACATATTCAAGTA